AGCTATTTAGAACCTTTATCATTCTTAAGTCTTTTACTCCACTTATATCTTCTTTCTTAGCCTCAGCAATGAACTTGACTTCCATCTCACAGAGAAATGGAAGACTAGCAGTTAAGATTTTTTGAATAAGTTAATTACCTCAAAAGTTAGCAGCTTAAGACAAGTATTTATTGCCTCCTAGTTTCTGTGTCAGGAATGTAGGAGCAGCTTAGCTGGGTGGTTCTGGCTTAGGACCTCTCATGAGGTTTGTTAAGATGTTCGCCAGGGCTGCAGTCATCTGAAGGCTTGACGGGGGCTAGAAGACTGACTGGCTTCTAAGCTCACTCATGTGGCTACCAGTGGGAGGCCTCAGCTCTGTCCCACAAGGGCCTTGCTGCAGGGCTGTTGCATATCCTTAGGACATGGCAATTGGCTTCCCCCAGAGTGAGTCATCCAGAGGGACAGAGAACAAAGATGCTGTGATGCCTTTTACAGCCAAGTCAGATATCGTTACTTTCGCCATATTTTATTCATTGGAAATAAGTCACTAGGCTGGCATCTCCCTTCTCTTTCTTTGGGATGCCACGCCATCTCCCTGCTCTCCCCTCCACCTCCTCTCTTTCTCATTCTCTCTGTCCTTCTAAAGGATAAAATAAACTTTTTTTACTTTTATAACTTAAAAAAAAAAGAAATAAGTCACTAAATTCAGCCAACATTCAAGGGAATTAAAATAGGCTCCACCTTTTGGAGGGAAGAGTGTTAAAGAATTTGTGGACATATTTTAAAGACCAACACAATTCTTAACTTTCCATCTTACCAGAAGACTTTTCTTCAGCTGAACTCATCTTACTACCTGCCTTCTCTTCTCAGCTGAAAGCTAATACCTCTACTCGGACTCTGGATTTCATTCCTTCCTGCCAATTCGAAATAAGTAACTTTTACTTTTCTTTAAACTTTAACCTCTCATCATTTATTGGCATTCTTTTCTTGGCATATTAACATGCTTGGGTCTCTTTTATCTTAAGAAAAAAAAATTCTTGGTCAACATATGCCTCCAGAACTGTGAGAAAATAAATTTCTGTTGTTTTAGCTTGCCAGTCTATGGAATTTTGTTATGGCGGCTTGAGTAGATAAGATACACCAATTTCTTTTTCTTCTCAAATAAATTCTTCTGTCTGGAATACTACTTCCTTTTGTCTGCCTAACTTATTCCCACTCCTTCTTCAGGCTTTAGCTTAAATATCACTTCCTCAGAGACATTTTCTAAGTTCATAGTATACATTATAACCCTTCTCTTCTCTCCTTTTGTCTTCAAAAGTCTGTTTTATTTGTGTGATTCTTTCCCTAGACTTAGTCTACCACTCTAGACTAAGAGCTCCATAGGCTAGGGCTGTGTCTGTAATGGCTGCTACTTGGTAGGCATTAGATAAGTATGTTTTGAGTGGTGGCTCACGCCTGTAATCCCAGTACTTTGAAAGGCCGAGGCAGGAGGATTGCTTGAGCCCAGGAATTTGAGGTTCCAGTGAGCTATGACTGCACCACTGTACTTCAGCCTGGGCAACAGAGTGGGACTGTCTCTAACGGGGGTGGAGCGTGGGGTGAGGAGAAGAATTATCACAGTATGTTACAATTGTCTATTTTTTATTGTTTCTTTCCTAAACTAATCTTCCAAGCAGGCGCTGAGTCTTATTTTTTGTAGGGTCGTGTAGTGTGCTAAATGTATCGTAGGTACTGCGTAAGTGTTTGTTGTATGAGTGAGAGGACTGAAACTAAACCAGTGCCTCATACTTTAGCGTGCAGGAAATTCGCCTGAGGATCTTAAAAGGCAGACTCTAGTTCAGCAGGTCGGGGATGGGGCCTGAGATTCTGCATTTCTCACAAGCTCCCAGGTGATGCCACTGGTCTAGGGACCACACTGAAGTAGCAAGGGAAGAGATTACTTTTTTTTTTTTGAGACAGAGTCACCCTGGGTAGAGGAGATTCCTTTAAAGTCTTCCTAGTTCTAACTTTCTATGATTCTATTAGCTACATAATTGAACAATATAATTTGTTTAACTTACTCCAGGTGAAATCCTTTCCAGATTCTTTTATTTGTTTAATCAGTAGCACAAAAGAATATATTTCAGTTCTTTAATTACAGTATTTGCTATTTCCTTGAACCCTTTTTTGGGTAATCAAGCCTAGCTCCTACTCTGCAAATTTCAAATACTCAGGTGTAGTCACAGAGCAGCTCTTTGTTAGGCAACAAGGTCTCTCCTCCCTCCACAGAGGTGGCTTCCTATGACCCTGCTCCTTCAACCTGAAGGGGTTCTGCTTATGTTTGGTTATATTTGTATCAGGTCTTTCAAATTCTCACTAAATTTAACTGACTTTTCTTGAAGTTAATTTGTTTTTCAAATATTCTTCTTTTAGCTGGGGCAACACAGTGAAACTCTGTCTCAAAAAAAAAAACACAAAAGGTTTTATATTTAACAGGGATTAATTATTATTTTAATTTTCTAATTGAAAAATAAAAATTATATAAGACTGTACAAAGGGTAAGTTTAGACTTGAAAATATAAACAATGCAAAGACTGTATCTGATGGGTTTCATAATTAATTGAATATATTTCTTACTCTGAAACTTTACTTTTAATTATATAAAAAATATGATTGCAGATAATTAACTAAAAAAGGTATTTTATCTGTAAAATGGGTGGCTATTTAGTAGTCAGTATATAACTAATTATTGTTCCTATAAATTTCTAATTACTAACAAAAATATTCCTTTTTTTTCCTTTATTCTTTTTGGTGCTGAAACTTGGAATAAACCAAAATATTGCTGATTAAGACAAAGAGTTACCACTGTCAAATGAGTAACAGCTAGTTTCACACTACACTAAGGACCAATAAGCTCTGTAGGCTTACACAGTTTAACGTGTGTTGGAATTCTGAATCTTGGGAGGATCCTTCCACTCCAGGACTGTGATTAGACTAGCAAGGTGTAAATTAATGAGATAAGGTAATATGCAGTCATGTCTTATATTAATATAATTAATTTTATGAAAGAATTATATTTTTTCATATATAAGTAAATATATATGTGAAAAGTAAACACATAACATAATAGCTATAGAATCTGGATGAACATTAAAATACGTCTGCTGAAATTGTTTTGAGATGGGTATAGAGAAGTTGAGAGGACAAAAGGTCTTAATTAGCAAAATCTCATTTATATATACTATTTCCTTTCTGCTCTGGATCTCTGCAAATATTATTTTTTTGACTTCAGTCTTAATGTTATTGTTAATATGAACTACATAGTATCCTGTGGAATTCACTATTATGTAGACACCTTTTATAACCATCTAAACACAGATATACAAACTCAGCTATTTAACCAATCGATTTCAGTTATGTTTAGAAAGAATTTTAACATGGCACTGAATATGAACACCCATTTTCATTCTTCCATTCGTGCAATTGATCGACTGAGCACTGACCATGGTCCAGAGCAAGGCCAGGGGCTGGCACTACTGTAGTAAACAAGACAGACTTAGTCCCTGCACTGTCAGAGCTTTTAGTCCCAGGACTTCTGCTTCAGCTGCCTTTTATTTCAAACTGTTTCTTAGTCTACTGCCTAAGTACTATCAGTTCTCTTTCCTTGGTTCCCCACTGTTAAGGGTACATGTAGGACTGAAGCTCCTACTTTCTTAGGATAATCATATAAATTAACCATTCAACAAGTACGGGCTGGGTGTGCCTCTGTGGATACATAAGATGTCTCAGGCTGAAGGAGGTTACACCCAAATTGGGGAGATCAGAAAGATAAGAAATAATTATTTATCAAGGTAAGGCACTAAATACAAATGCATCTAGCACAAAATTATAAATGGAATGTATAGAGAGAAGGAACAGAAAAAAAGCAGGCAGTGGTGGTGTGGAAAGGCTTCATGAATCAGGCACCATGGCTCATGTCTGTAATGCTAGCACTCTGGGAGGCCAAGGTGAGAGGATTGCTTGAGGTCAGGAGTTTGAGACCAGCCTGAGCAAGAGTGAGACCCCCCCATTTCTGCTAAAAATATAAATTTATCTTTTCTCCAAAGATGAATTCATATCCATTATTTTTGCAAATAAAGTGTACTAAATCTTTTGGGCTAAAATATTTACATAGCCCCCTGAAGAATTCTAGAAGTATGTGGCCCAAAGAATGTTTCCAGAAAGCTGTAGAAAGAATGAAGGCTTAAAAGTAAAAATTTTATGTTTAAGTTTTGGCTCTATCATTTATTAGCTGTGTGGTATAAGACAAATCACTTAACTTGTCTGAACTTAAGTTTCCTTACCCTTACAATAGGGCAAGAATACCGACTTCATAGGACTATTTTAAGGATGAAATGAGATAATGTTTGTGACAGTGATTTGTAAACTACCAAGTACATTTGTAGCTGTACTTGCACACAGGTTAATATAATATTAGTAACTGGATAAATTAACTGGCCTGCTCTTTGGCATTCATTCATCCAGCTAAATGCCTACTATGTGCCAAGTACCATGGTGAGCCCTGAGGATAAGACACTTTCTGCTTTCAGAGTTCCTACTGTAGACATTAAGTTATAATGTGTTATTGCAATGTTCATATAAGAACACTCTGAACAGAGGTGATTTATTTAAAGGTTTAAATTTAAAAACAACTTCATGCTTTAATTATTGTATAAATTGCAAATTTTTTTAAATTGAAATTTTGTGAAGAATTAACGTCATTCTAACACTAGTTAAATTCATAGAGGCAGAAAGCAGAATTATGGTGGCCAGGGCCAGGGATAAGGAGGAAATAGGGAAATAGCATGTAATGGGTAGAGTCTCAGCTGGGGAAGATGAAATAGTTCTAGAGATGGTTGGTGGTGATAGTTGCAGAACAATGTGAATACTTAATGTCACAGAACTGTACACTTAAAAATGAATTTTATGTCACATATATTTTACCACAATTAAAATAAAAGAATTTAAAGTCAATAATGGCAAAACTTTATATTAGTACTCACGAAGGTGCGATATCCAGATGGTTGATAGTAAATCCAGAAGAGCAAAAGCCTCCCAGTGTTGTTGATATGGTTAGGAACGCAACAGCCAAAGAATAATCACAGCCTATATATCCAGCAGCTATTAAGAATACTGCAGGTCCAATCATTCCTGGAGTTAAAAAGTTATAAAAGAAAAAGAAGTCACAGCATTAGTATTTGCTCTACCTTAATATAGTGTAAATCTGAAATTTGATATTGCTGCCACCTACTGTAGAAATACTGTACTGTCTAGAAGACTAATGAATTTCATGGAAAAAACTGGAAAACATATGGGTATCATACAACTAATATAATAGTAAAAGAAAAACCTCGTTTTATGCAATCTTATTAAATCTACATGTGATCAAAACTCAGCTAAAGTTCTACAGTGCTAGAGAAAAGAGCAAGAAGAAAATGACAAAAATATGGGTCTAGAGAGAAGCAAGAGCTGACACAGAATGTAATTTAAAATTAGTAGAATCAAAGAAGATAAACTAAATAATAAACTCCATTGGATACAGTTAGAAAAATACTCCATTCTGGTTCTAACAATTGACAACAATATGCATTGGTCATTACAGGAAGTTAAGCATAAAATATGAGTAACATAGGAAGGGACTGAATGAGTGGACGGTTAGTCTTTCTGTGTCTACCACTGTGCTCTCCAATAACTATCTGTGATGATGGACATGTTATATTTGTAGATACTGCAACTGAGGAACTTATTTTTAAATTTCAATTAAATTTAAATAGCCACGTGTTGGCTCGGCGTGATGGCTCACGCCTGTAATCCTAGCAATCTGGGAGGCCGAGGCAGGAGGATGGCTTGAGGTCAGGAGTTCGAGACCAGCCTGAGCAAGAGAGAGACCCTGTCTCTACTAAAAATAGAAAAAATTAGCTGAGCATGGTGGCACATGCCTGTAGTCCCAGCTCCTCGGGAGGCTGTGGCAGAAGGATCACTTGAGCCCAGGAGTTTGAGGTTGCTGTGAGCTAGGCTGACACCATGGCATTCTAGCCTGGGCGACAGAGTGAGACTCTGTCTCAAAAACAAAAAACAAACAAACAAAAAACTTAAATAGACATACATGGCTAGTAGCTACTGTATCATGCAGGGCAGGTCCACAGAAAGCCACAAAGGAGAAAACCAGATTGACTCTAAAGGAGTTTATTTCATTTGCAGATATGCAGTCAAAGTAACCAAGCAATGGAACAGGACAGCATATTCTACTGGTAGGTGCTCAGTAGGTGTTTGCAGAATTAATCTGAATAGGGTCCTTTTACAATGAAATTACTGAAGTATAGCTATTGATGACTTCCAGAGTCTCTAATTACTGAAGATCTTTAAAAAGTTGAATGATCGGGTCGGGTGCGGAGGCTGAGGCAGCAGGATCGTTTAAGGCCAGGAGTTCGAGATCAGCCTGGGCAGCAGCAAGACCCCTGTCTCTACATAAAATAAAAAAAAATTAGCCAGGCATGGTGGCACACGCCTACACTCCCAGCTACTTGGTAATCCAAGGCAGGAGGATTGCTCAAGCCCAGGAGTTTGGGGTTGCCATGAGCTATGATGACGCCACTGTACTCCAGTCTAGGCAACAGAGTGAGACTCTGTCTCAAAAAAAAAAAAAAAAAAAAGTTGAATGATTATCTTAGATAGTTTTAAAATTTACCTTTCTGAAAGCAGAGATGGAAGCATATGATTATTATTATTACTGATCAGATGGTACCCAGGAGTATGAAGAAAAAAAAATTATTATTATTGAGTTCTTTGATTCATAGCTTTTCATTTGATATAACGATATCAGTAAATACTTTTGGATTGAAATTCAAAATGGCTGGGTGTGGTAGCTCATCCCTGTAATCCCAGTGATTTGGGAGGCTGAGGCAGGAGGATCCCTTCAGCCTAGGAGTTTGAGACCAGCCTGAGCAACACAGTAAGACCCCATCTCTAAAAAAATGAAAAAAATTAGTTGGTCATGGTGGAGTGCAGTGGTAGTCCTAGCTACTCCGGAGGCTTAGGGAGGAGGATCACTTAAGCCCAGGAGTTTGAGGCTGCCGTGAGCTATACTTGTGCCACTGCACTCCAGCCAGGGCGACAGAGTGAGATACCCTGTTTCTAAAAAAGAAATGAAAAATATATTCACTTAGCAAAGGGATGGAGGCTTAAAAATATTTTCATTGCAAACTTAGAGCTAAAAATAAAGTGATTTATAAAATTCTCAGGGTGATGTTCAGCAAAGCAAGCCATTTTAAAATAATTATAAGCTATGGTGGTGATAATAGGCTATTATAAATTTTAATCCCCAAAATGAATGGTTCAAAAAGAACCATCTTGTACTAAAATGCACTAAATGCATCATAGTGTTTTAATATGTGAACAAAATAAATGACAATATTACCATTTTTTTGGTACTGTTTTGATATTGTGATACAATAAGAAATATATAGTTGGTTGCCGCCCTCAGTTTTTGGCACACAGCTCCTAAAACCCTTGGAATGTCTGGAGTGATGAATTTGTCTTTTGTATGCTAATGAAATGACTGGTGGCTGGGGGCCCCTAGATAGCTTCAGGATGGGGGCTGGATTAGAAAGTTGGGACTTTCAGCCCCATCCGCAACCTCTAGGGAGGGAAGGGGGCTGAAGGTCTAGTTGATCCCAATGGCCAATGATTTAATCAATAATCCCTACCTAATGAAGCCTCCATAAAAACTCAAAAGAACAGGGTTTGGATGAGCTTCTGGATAGCAGAACACATGGAAGTCGCTGGAGGGTGGTGTTCCCAGAGAAGGCATGGGAACTCCTCGCCCCTTTCCAAATTCTTTGCCCTGTGCATTTCTTCCATCTGGCTGTTCATCTGTATCCTTTGTAATATCCTTTGTAATAAACCCATGAACATAAGCAAAGTGTTTCCTTGAGTTCTGTGAGCTGCTCTAGCAAATTAATTGAACCTGAGGAGGAGGAAGTCCTGGGAATGTCGATTGTAGACAGTCGGTCAGAAGTACAGGTCACAACCTGGGACTTGTGATTGGCATTTGATGGGAGTGGGGCAGTCTTGTGGGACTGAGCCCTCAACCTGTGGGATCTGACACAATCTCCAGGTAGACAGTGTCATAGTTGAATTACAGGACACCCAGCTGGTCTCTGCTGAAGAATTGGTTGTGTGTGGGGAGAAACCACACACATTGCGGTTACCAGAGTGAAGTGTTCTGTGTTGTATATTGATTGTGTTAACTGTGAGAGTGGGAAGAACATTTTTCTTCCTATTTCCAATAACTATAAACACAGTAAATAACTGTAAACCAAAACAAAACCTGATTCACTTCCCTTACCTATAAGGCTAAAAATTCTGCGAACACATATAGTTGAAAAATTCCATTTTGCCCTTAAATTGTCAGCAACTTGACCAGACAGGATCATACATAGCCAACAGCCGAAATAAGGTAGTGCAGATAAAAACCCATTCTGGAAGGAATCAGAAGATACAGGATTAATTATGTGGGAGGAAAAAACAAAATACACACATATATCACAGCCAACTACCACCACTTGAAAACAAAGGAAATATATAGCAATATGCTGTCAATTTTCATATAATTACA